CTAGACTCTTTTAGGCTTTTGGTTTTCCTTTCCTTTCACTTTATCATTTTTTTTTCTTTTTTTGAAGGGGAAGCCTTTGGATGTAGAGTCTTAGGAGGCACGAAATTTACCTTTGAGTTCAAGCTTTTGAGGCACCATAGCTTTGATAGATTCTTGATGCTTCACTTTCCCAAATTCCTTTAGTCTTTCTCTGAAGTGACTGAAAACTATATTGTTCCTCCCTCTCCGGCGTTTTTGCACATATCTGTCGATACAAACAAAAAAGAAAGTGCATGAGGTTTGAACTTCAAGATTTGGGTAAAGGGTGTGGTACCAGCTAAAGATGAACTGGACATCTATGACAACAAAGAGTGGTAACAATAAGGTGAAGATGTCCTAGATGTATATCATGATGCCTGCTAAAACCAATGATGGAAAAATTAGATGTCAAGATTATGTTCAATTAAAATGAGATAGTATATCCTGGCAGAAAAGATCTCCATGAACAGAAATCCGTTGGTGGGAGTTCGTAGTACAAGTACTCTAGCTACCACCTAGTCTAGTACTAACCACAAAAAGAACTAGGACTTTATACTCATCATAGTTTTGTGTCAAACATTCCTGAAAAACACTCAATGTCTTTTAATAAGCATAGAAAAATTTAAAAATTGCAGAAAAATATAAAAAACAAAGAAAATAAATCAGTACGGATAAACATCCTCCCCCATACTTAAATCACACTGTCCTCAGTGTGAAAAAGTTGGTGAGAAGATCGCAAATAAAAGTAAAAGAGTTTAAAAATAAAAGAAAAGAAAATGATGATAGAACCGTGGGTATAATGAGGTGATGGATGAGCGCCTATGTATCATGTCTGTCGTCTCTCTCTCTGTGGCAGAAGAGTCATCATCAAACCTGTGGTTCTTCTTCGGAAACTTCTTCATGCGCCTTTTGATCTTCTTCTGCTGATCAAGTTTCTTCTTCAATGCTGCAAAGTCTGCATCACTCCTAGTGGATGCTCTGGTTCTCCTGGCTCAGGATGAAGATGGTGCAGGCTGAATTCTCCTGCTGTTTGCAGCTATCTCTCTTGGCTTTTGCAGCCAGAAATTGCTTCATGGTCAGAGGTAAGAGTGGAAAAGATGGTAAGAAATCGTGAGTCTCTGGTCTCCATCCTGGGTCTGCTCCATCTCGGATTCGGGGCACTGAATCTAAAGGTAGGAGAACTCTGTACTCGGTGGTACTAGTGCAGAACTTCTAAGCAAATCCAATGGGGTCCAGCTTGGCCCTGGTAATAGTCCTGTCTTTGGAGAACTGAGAGAGATCAAACCAATCTTTCCTAAGAGGTGTCTCGGCTGAAAACTCAACTCCTGCTGCTACCATAAGCGAAGTAATGATGCTTCCAGAGGCTGGTGAGTAGTCCTGACACTCAGATATAAGCATCTCATGCTTAACCTTCTCTAGGTTCCTTGCAATGATGCAAACAAAGCAAGGGAATCTTGGGTGATCTGCGAAAAGTAGCTGAAGTGTCACCAGCTCGGGCTTAAGGACATTCGCCTGGTTGACTCTGGAAAGCACAGTGTGTGCTAGAAACTTGTGCACATATCAACAGCAGGGTGAGAGAGAAGTGAGGCTTTGGACCTTCCTTTGTCATAAACTCCATAACCCATCAATTTCCAAAGATCCTCATCTGTATCTTTCTCCAAAGCAATCTCATCGCAATATAGCAAATTCAAAGCATCACACATTCCTAAAATGGTAAGAGAATAGAGATGAGCTCCAATATAGAAGGATAGTATGCCATCTAGAGCTCTAGGAGTAGCTCTCTTCTTGTATCACAAGGTCGCTGATGCAAGGAACTCTTTAGTGTTGCTCTCATAAGTTGGAAAACTTTGCTCCATGAATGATCTCTTACCAAGCCTATCAAGATACCATATCACATCTTCTCTGATTTCAAGCATCTCAAGAGTAGAGTAATCAATTGCTGGAGTTGGTTTGATCTTCAGCTTCTCAAGCTGCTCCAAGTAGTTGACGTCTGGATCAATGGCTTTACCAACAAACTTCACCTTCGGCCTAGAGGAAGACTTAGCTCTCCAAGGTACAGATTTTTGAGTGGGGGCTCTCTCAATCTCTCCTGAAAATATTCTTCTCTGTGCTGATATGAAGGTAAAGAAAGTTTCATCATCACTCAGCTGTGTCTCGTTTAATGCATCATATGTCTCCTGCGAGTGGGGGTTCTTTGCATGAGGGCTCTTCTTGGTTCGAATGAGTCGTACCTGAGAGAGATCCATGGCCTGTAAAAAAAAATTCTCGAGACAGAGAGTAACTGAAGCTGCTTTTGAATCAATTTTTCTGAGCAAGATATTCATACAGCTATCACAAACACATTCACATGACAAAGAATCTGTAATTGGATCAAACATTGCAAAATCTGAGAGGTCCTGGTCAAATTCGATATAGTGATGTTCAACATATGAGATTTCTAAATCAAGATGATGTTAATGTTCATTCATAAGCATTCTAATCATATTATCTACTAACAATGACCAAATAATCCAGATTTGCCAAGGATCAAACATTGCAAAATCTGAGAGGTCCTGGTCCAATTTGGTGAATTTCTACTCATTTTAAAATTTGAGTTCTTAAGAAAAAGTAAGAAATTTGGATCCATACCTTGATGAAAGTGTGATGTGATGATAGATTTGGAATCTCATTTGAAAAGAATGAGACAGGTTCAAAATTTTGAAAGAGATTTGTCAAGTTTGAAATCTGGTCTTTTTTCTCAAAATCTCCAAGCTTGTTGGAGAAGATGATGAAAAAGAGTCTTTTGATCTTTGAAATCCTCTTTTTCTTTTAAAAAGATGTTTTCCTAAGAAAAATTTATTTCTAAAGCTTTTAAGGACTTACCTTGGCATGTTTAACACGGAAATAATGTTTCAGGAACTTCCCGGTTTAATCCCAGAATAAATCGGGATTTTGAAGTTCCGGTTCGCGAGAAATCGGGAAAATCGGGAAGCAGAATAGAGGCCGGCCACGGGTGAGGGATGCGCGGCTGCAGCAAACTATGGTTTTGCCACGGGTGAAAGTCGTGGACTGCAGCAAATGAAGGCCTGGCCGTGGCTGAGATGATCGCGGCCGCGGCAAAATGGCTCCGGCTTCACCTGTTTCTTTCCGGTTTCCGGTTTCTTCCTCCTATCTTTTTATATTTTTCTGGTTTTTTTTTGTTTTTCTGGGTTTTATGAAAGCCCGAAATGCATAAAAAATAAAAAGATCAGATGGAAAAGAAATAAAAAGAAAAGAAAATCATACCAAATTAGTTGCCTCCCATCAAGCGCTTTTGTCTAAAATCTTTTAGCTAGACTCTTGGTAGGATTAGGATTGAGAAGAAGAGGCAGGATCTCTTGAAATAAGAGTCCTTGGGATCCTTCTTAGCCTGAACTTTGGATCTCCTTCATTTTGAATCACAATCTCCTTTCCTTTCTTAATGATTTTTGCATCCTTGAAGACATGTTTTGTCTTCTCAACAATTTCTTCAAGGTTTTTCCCCTTCTCCTTGCTGATGTCTGGTGGCACCACTATCTTGATCTTTGCAAATTGATTGGATGCAAGTGCTTTTAGTTCATTTTTTTTTCCAAAATCTTATCTTTGCTCTTGTCCATTCGGTTTGGAGCTGGATCCGCTGTGGTCTTATAGAAAACTAAACAGTGATTTGCATGGTCGATGATAGCACCTACAGTTGCTAAGAATGGGCGACCAAATATCAGAGGTCTTTCTTTGTCTTGGTTCATCTCTAAAACTTGGAAATCGACTGGGATGATTTTGTTTTCAATGACCAGTAGCAAGTCTTGGATCATTCCTTCTGTCCTCTTTTGATATGAATCACCAAAGACTATCCTTACTAGAGATGAGACAAATGTTCCTATACCAAGTCTCTCAGCAACAGATTTTGACATAACATTCACATTAGCACCAGAATCACATAAGCAATCTGAAAATTCAATAGAGCAAGTGAAAGAAAAACGCCCTAGATCCTTAGACTTTTTGAGTCTTTGATCAGACAAGCGTTTTGGTACCTTAACCGGGATAATATGGCTTCTCTCATGCTCGGTTTTAGTGTCCTTCATGAGGGGTTCAGGTGTCGACTTTTCCTTGGATTTTGCGACTGGTTCTTCTTCCATAACTGCCATCATGGCATTGCAAAACTTCTTTGGATTATCTTCCACTCTTCCTGGCAAGGCTCCTTGTTGCCTCTTCATTGAATCTGCAGTCTAACCTATCTGTAGTTCCAACTTCTTGACATGGGTTGCAAGAGATTCAAACTACCCATTCAAGTCATTGTACATACAATCGATCCTCACTCCCATTTCCCTGATCCACTTCTCATTGCCTTGAGATGTCTGCATCACACTTTGTTCAAGCGATTTTACCTGGTTGCTTAGCTGGGAAAGGGTTGCTTCTAATAAGCTGGTCTGTGTCTTTTGAGGGTTGAAAGGTGGTCTTTCTCCATAGTTCCCATTTTGGAACTTGTTTGGAAAATTCCTTTGCTGCTGCGGATAAGGCTGGTTCTGGGGGTTCTCGGCTCCATGGCTCATGTATGAGAAAGATTGTTGAAGTTGGCATTTCTGAAGTTGTGGTTGAAAGCTGGACTGAATCGGTTCTGGTATGCTTGAGCTCCCATGAAATTGATTTCTTCTTCTTGATATATGCCATCATCTTCATATCTTCCATCTTCTTCATTTCCTGCAGCAGCATCACAAGCATGTATATTCTTATTTTGAGATTTAAGAAGTTGACTTACCATGATTTTTAGCTCAGCAATCTCCCTTGACTCATGACTAATTATAGTCTTCTTTGATATGTCATACTCAGGGTTGTTGTTGATGTTTGCTACAGCCAGATTTTTGATGAGTGCTCTCCATTGTGGTATAGTTTTCGAACTAAAATCTCCATTGCTGGAAGTGTCAAGAGAAAGTTGATACTTCTGCTGAAGTCTTCTGTAGAATGTGCTCAGCAGGTTTGCTCCAGAGAAACCATGATGAGGGCAATCTCTCTCATACTTTTTAAATCGCTCACAAGCTTCATAGAATGATTTTAATGGGCCTTGTTGGAAACTTTGGATCTTGTTTTTCAGCTGGTTTGATCTTGAATTGGTGTAGAAGTGATTCAGGAAAGCTGACTTGCATTCTTCCCATAAAGTAATAGAACCAGATGGCATAGATTTTAACCATCTAAAAGCTTTATTACTTAGAGAGAAAGGGAAAAGCTTACACTTTATATAATCCACAGTTTCTAGAGTGGTTCTCACCATTCCACATATTTCTTCAAAAAAAATCAATGTGGTCCATTGGATGCTCAGAAGAGATTCCATGGAATTGATTTTGCTTCACCAGAGATACAATCTGAAGTTTTATCTCGTGATCCCTTCTTGCTAAGGCAGGAACTTGAATAGTTGATCTATTTTGAAAGTGTTGGTGAGGTGCATCGAAATCGGCAATAAGTCTATTGTGGGGCTGTCTTCTCGCAAGATTGGCAAGCTGTATGGGTTGATTGGCCTCTCTACCATTAGGTGGAACAATGTTTTCATCACTCCTTTGTTCTTCGGGGTCGACCTGGCCTTGTCTCCTTCGGTTATCAGCGGCTTGAGCAGCATTTCTAAGAATTTGGTTTCCCTCTCCATCGAGTTGTGGCTGGCCATCTCCTTCCTGGGCAGCATCTCGGTCATCATTGTGAATAGAATCACGATCATCGTCTCCAATGTGATCATCTTGGTCATGGTTTAAAAGATCTTCCTGATAGACATTCGGATTGGCCATCTTGAACTTTCTTCGTCTGAGTCTCTGAAGTACTCTTTCGTGTTTGTCGATCTCATCTAAGGGCAGTACAATGTTGGCAGGATTTCTCCTAGTTTTCATGCACCTGAGAGCAAAGAAAGCAAAGAAAAAAAGAGAAGTTAGAAAATCTCCAGCAAAACTCAAAAATCTTGAAGTCTAGAATTGAAATTAGATTAAGAAATCAGGTCAACAGCGACAAATCCCCGGCAACGGCGCCAAAAACTTGATGTGGGCGCAGTGGACAACACAAGTTTTACCCTAGACAAGCTGCAAGTGCACAACAAACGCAGTAGTACTTAGGGATCGAATCCACAGGGATTTGTGTGTTGAGAATTTCTAACTGATGCTAAAAACAATTGTAAACCTAATCTAATAAAAAAGAGTTTTTGTTTGTCACTAAATCTAATTATGCAGAAAATTAAAAAGCTGGAAATAAAATCGGTTGAACTATATGAAAAACGGCGTTGGGTTCAAGGTTTATCTTTAGGGTTCATGTTCTAAAACACAAGAAATTTAGGCAAGGATTTTCTATGACTCTGAAACTAGGATAAACACATGTAAGATTAGCCAATCCTCGTCACCCTAATCATCTAATCACTTGTTCATGATAATTAACTCTCGCTCTCATGCCAGAACAAAATCATGCTTTGTAGATCGAAATCCATCTTGGCTTACGTATCCTCTGTAGATAGCTTTCGTCTCCTACAACGGTGACATCCATAAGATCCGGTTCAGGCAACCCAGATACTATACTCTTGTGGCTCGATTTAACCTAGGATCGGACTCTGAGTGATCAATCCTGAGTTACCACTTTGAGATTTGAATGAATGGAAGAATCATGTAAAAATCAAAATCATTTTTCTTAAAAACCTAGATGTCAGTCGAACATGGGATCCCTTTGGATTTCCCCTTCACCCAACTCGGTGACTACTCAGACATGGCTGAGTTAGACATCATCATCGGTTTAAGAACTATAAAGCAGAAAAGTAGATAAACAAAAGTTGCAGAAAATTTCCTCTTATTGTAGACAGTGTGGCAATGAAAAGCTTCTACAGATGCATAAAAATAAAACCTAAAGCTACAAATGAGTTATCTCCCAAAGAGAAGAAAGACGGTCTCTTACAAAAGACATAAAAAATGAGTATTTATAGTGTTTCTCCAGGTTTGGGCATCTAGGGCTATTAAAATGGGTGCAGGAAGTGTCTTGGGCCTTAGTTGGGCTCCTGAGGTTCGGACATAGGTCCACCAGGGGTGAAACAACTTGAGTCGCGGTGGGAGCAAGCTTGGCCGCGGGTGAAAGCTTCTGTCCTTGACTCGACTTGTGTTGATTGGCTTTCAGTGCATTGATGATATCTAGAGATCTAACCATTGGATTGCTTTGATTACAAGTTTGTTGAAAATATGGTTGTCTCCTCTTTAATGTCTCCAAAGTTGGGGATGATCAGACGGTGATAAGGTCTTCTTTGGTTGCCAAACTTCTGACGGCCTGAATTTATCCAAAAATGTACTTTTGCTCCAAAATGCACTCCAAAGCTCCAAATTTCCTCAAAAGCCTTTTAAAACTCCAAAACATTTATAAAACCTTTAAAACTGAGTGAAAACACCTGCATAAGATATTGAAAGTGATCCATAAAAGTGGTCAAAATTAGGTGTTATCAAAGACAAGTATGGGAGAGTTGATATATTCATTTTTAGTCCAAATATAGAGTCTCGTGCATGCATATAGGTAGTTTTATTAGAGTTTAGTTATAGTTTTAGCTTTTATTAGGAAATGCATTAGGTCCCAGAGTGTCTTGCATTTTTGGAGTGCATGAATGAGATCATCTTTGTCTCATAACCTCACCCTTAGCCAAGCTTGTTTGTTTGAGTATGCATCATTTTGATTCACATGAAAACCGTTATATGAATGTTAAAGGACCGAGGAATAAGAAGGTTTTGTGTAGGTTAAGGCTTAGACTTGATGCGTTCAGAGATGGAAATGGCTAACTCTTTTAGACTATATTGCTTATGATGCATTTTAGAACTAGGAACTTAAAGATTGAGCATGACTTCTAGCTGTGATACTTTTGGATTTGAATTCCCACTTTCAAACTTCTCTCTCTCATTTGTTCTCGTTTGCTTGAGGACAAGCAAATGACAAGTGTGGGGGAGTTAATATATGCATATTTTAACAGGTTTAACATACATTTTAATACTTGTTTTGAGTCTCATCCTTGCATATTAGGTAGGTTTCTCAGTGTTTTATCTGTTTTTAGCTTTATTAGGAATTTCATTAGGTCCAAGTGAGTCTTGCATGTTTTGGAGTGATTATCAGGTACTTTGGAGCTGTTTTGGAGCTGTTTTGGAGCAAAAGAGCTGAGACCAGTAGAGAGAAATGGTGAAAGACATGAAGAATGGATCAAAAATGAAGTATCGGCCATCTGGTGTACCGCAGGTCATGTTCTTCGGCCAAAAACATGTACAGCATGTCATGCTTATTGGACAAATCTTCAAGCTTGCCAACACGCCTGATAACACCGTATTTTGACACTTTTATGGATCATTTTGAAATACTTTTTCTATGTTTTTTATTGCTTTTAAGTACTTTTATCATGTTTTCTAGTATTTGTAGTTCCAAGACTCTTTTCAGGAAACTTAGGGAAAAGCTTAACAAAATGGATAGAAGACCAGATTTCAGCTCAGAGTCAAACCGTCAGAAGTTTACCCCCGATTGAAGGCCTTCTCACCGTCTGATCCAGCTCAAATTTTGAGATCTCAAAGATGGAAGTATCAGCTTTGCAGCACACTTTACAGCTTGGCAATCCAACGGTTCAATCAAAAGATACGCGAAGAGCAAGATGTCTCGTAAACCAGCTGACAAGCGTTTCCACCCACGACCAACAGACCATTCCCCGCGGTCACAACCATCCCGACCGCGGCCAGCCATCCATTCCCGCGGTCACGCACATCTCGACCGCGGCCAGACAACTCCGAGTTAGAAGGCCCATTTCTGAAGCCTATATCATTTTCCCAGCCTCAATTCCGGAACCCTAAAGACCAGAGAGCATTGGAGACTATAAATACTTATCATTTAGGTCGTTTTTAGGAGAAGAAGAAGAGAGACGAAATACTTTACAGAAATTTTAGTTTAAGCTTTGTTTTTTATGTTTTAGGGAGAGAGATCTATCTCTTGAACCCTTGTTCTTTCTTTTCAATTTCGGTTTCTGTACTACCTTTTAATACTATGTTTTTGATTTCGTTTATCATGTATGAGTAGTTTTATTGTTGGGTCTAAGGGATTTTCGATGGGGATACATATGTTTGATAACACCTGATTTTGACCACTTTTCACCATTAATTTCAAATGGTTTTTCAAAGGTTTTACTTTGTTTTAGGAACTTTTATTTTGATTTTAATGTATTTGTAGTTTCAAGGCTCTTTTCAGGAAACTTAGGGAATATGATGGCAAAATGGAAGAAATCCACATTTTTAACTCATAGTCAGACCGTCAGAAGTTCAGCTTCAAATGAAGACTTTCTCACCGTCCGATACAGCTCAAATTTGGAGACAATCAAGAGGAGACAACCAGATTTCCATAGCATCTTACATCACAAAGATCCAACAGTGCAATCAAAAGATACATGGAGAACAAGTTGACCCAGTTCACCAGTCTCGGAAGACTCTCACCCGCGGCAAAAGCATGTTTTACTTGCCTTGGAAGACTCTCACCCCCGGTGGACCTTAGGACGAGCCACAAGGCCCAACATCAAAGCCCAATTCGCCATTCCTCTTCAGAGAATCCCTAAATGAGACCTGGAAGACCTTAAGACCTATAAATACATTGTTTAGCAGTCCTAAATGGGTGTGTGCTCCTGAAATGAGATTTTGAACCACCAAACTTTGTTTTTCTAGGGTTAGGCGATGGACATGGGCATGGGGATTCTTCCCCAGATCCATTGTTCTTCCTCCTTTTTATCTTATTAACTTTTCTGTTTCATTCTTTTGCATTCTTCTATGTCTTTTATCATTCATTGCATCATGTAGATTAGTCCCAGAGAGTCAAGTTGTTTGAAGTTATCGACAATCATATATATCGATTAGGATCTCTATTGTTCTTAGCCATATTCTGGATCTCATCTCTTCTAAGTCATTCGTAAAGCATGAGAGTAGATTCATGACCTATTCTCTGAGCCTAGGATTGATCAGAGCCACAAGAGTGATGTATCAGTGATAAAAGAATTTTTGTCTAAATCAATTCCTTAATATGCTCATGTCATTGCAATATTAAGGTATCAATCCAAAGGGATTAAGATTAACACACCA